TGCTACCGGTAATCTAATACAAAGACAATATAAAAATGTCAAGACAAAGCCAACCTAATGCAACAACAATATAAAAATGTTAAGCCAATGCCAACCTAATACAAAGACAATATAAAAATGTTAAGCCAATGCCAACCTAATGCAAAGACAATATAAAAATGTTAAGCCAATGCCAACCTAATGCAAAGACAATATAAAAATGTCAAGACAATGCCAACCTAATACAAAGACAATATAAAAATGTCAAGACAATGCCAACCTAATACAAAGAAAATATAAAAATGTTAAGCCAATGCCAACCTAATACAAAGACAATATAAAAATATTAAGCCAATGCCAACCTAATGCAAAGACAATATAAAAATATTAAGCCAATGCCAACCTAATGCAAAGACAATATAAAAATATTAAGCCATTGCCAACCTAATACAAAGACAATATAAAAATATTAAGCCAATGCCAACCTAATGCAAAGACAATATAAAAATATTAAGCCAATGCCAACCTAATGCAAAGACAATATAAAAATATTAAGCCAATGCCAACCTAATGCAAAGACAATATAAAAATATTAAGCCAATGCCAACCTAATACAAAGACAATATAAAAATGTTAAGCCAATGCCAACCTAATACAAAGACAATATAAAAATATCAAGCCAATGCCAACCTAATACAAAGACAATATAAAAATATTAAGCCAATGCCAACCTAATACAAAGACAATATAAAAATATTAAGCCAATGCCAACCTAATGCAAAGACAATATAAAAATGTTAAGCCAATGCCAACCTGATGCAAAGACAATATAAAAATGTCAACTTAAGGATAATTTACAGAAGAAAACACCCAAATAAGGCAAATAATAATTTTGCCATTGATCTCACCCCATACAAATCTAGTTCATACATGATGATATTTGAATTAAGAGTTCTCTGTTATTACATTCAAAACTACCATTTATCATATGCTTAAATAACGCCAGGGTACAGAGGAACACATCGAAGGTACAGCGTAGTAAGTTTGTGTACATTACGCGAATATATGTCATGTTATATTAAACTGTGTCTGGTTTTAAGCACAGACATTAGAAAACTTGGATGTACAACACACATGCATCTGTAGATATACCTTTCATGTAACCTTAGTTATAATCCTCCACTCAATTCACACCTTAGGGTAGTAGACAACAAAGCTATATAAACACCAATGTTATACCAAGTATTTTGCACAGGTGCCTGTCAATAATTAGTGATTCACTGAACTGCCTTATTATATTTATTGTGTGACTGCTGTATTATATGAAAAGTAAAAAAAACGCCCTCTTTGAATAGCTATTATGTTGCAAGCTATGCTTTGTATGCAAATCAACTGAAATAGTTGGTGTCCAGTGGAGAGAGAAGTCAACAGTACTGTGGCCTTCGGAGAATCTACATCTTCAAACACTGCAATCTTTGTTTTTGAAGTGCGTTTTTAAATTAGTATTACAAAAGCTCTATCATTCTGTTCTAATAGCTGTCAAATGAACTGTTTGTCAAATACAGAATACATATATTTTAGTAAAATTTTCTTTTCAAAATGTAGATGCAACGTTTTGCTTTTTATGTATTTTTTTTATATTGTTTTTGATTTGATAACTTTGAGCTAAACAGATTTTCTATTAGGTTCAGATCTTGATATAAGTTTGGCACACAGTTCATAGGAGTGCTTATATTGATTTACTGTAAAGATTTTATTGGTAGGTTTGCAAATGTGTATCAAATCTCTCCACGAGTTGGTTTTGAAACCCAGTATAGTATTCCCATGGGATTTGGGAGATACATTACCAAGGATATTATTACAAGATTACAAGGTACATTTCCACTGAGATTAGTGACCCTTGAATGTGTATCACCAGTGATCAGTCAAGTAGAAACAGTCAAAATATGTTATCAGATTTTCTCAATTTGTGCATAATATTTTCATACAGGACATCTGTTGTTCAAACTCAGGGAAGACTTTATACTGATGAATAAGGTGACCAAGTTTGATGAAGAATAGAATAGAATAGAATTAGTAAAGTTATTGTGCACACAAGAACAAATATTATTAACGACGACGACAACAACAACGACGATGACGACGACAACGCCGGACAAAATTGTTTCCCTTAATATACCTTTCCCTTCCATCTTTGATTGTACGGGCAAGGTAAAAATGGCAATCAGTCAAGCATTTTGAATCAAATATTGTGTTTAATGGACAGGCAAAGTTTAAATGAAATACGTCCATGCAGGACCAAGACCCAGTTTAAGATTGCTAGAAATGCTAGATTTTGATGAATTTTTAGCACTAAAATTGCCACCATTTGTCAACTTTTTAATTCGATCACAAAACAAATGCATATGCGTGTAAAGTACAAATGAAATTGGCCCAGGCATGTTTGAGATGCAGGTGCTGACGGACACACCTAGGTGAAATTACAAGTCCCCTTTTTTTATTTTTTCAAAATGTTGTTCCAGATACATTGCAGATACATTGTTTTATTGCCTTAAACTACCATGTGTATACAAAATGTACCATGTTTTATCATTGTTCAAAAGTATCACAGTACTGGCACTCGCTAAGATTCTTGTGAAGAGCACTGATTTACTTGAATGATGTCAGTAAATAGTAAAGCAAGCAGTAAAAATCAATATACATGTAGTATAATACTTTTTATTGAAATAAAAATGATACACTGTCAGAATAACATCATATACTGCACCAAGCCAAAATAACATGTACATAAATAAACAATATCAGAATTATAATATAAAAGATATTCAGTGACAAAGAAACCCCACAAAAGCACCGTGAATTGAGCCCAAGTAAAAAGCACTGTATGTTGCAGCATAAACTACGAAGTATTTCTCATCTCTGTAAATACAAAACAATTCGGACATCAAATATTTGAAGAACTTATTTTAAATTGTAAAGTAAATTAGTAAATATACACAATCTGTTATGATTTCTCATTTCAGTTGGAGATTGGTCAGTTACTTCGGCCTAGGGGGGGGGGGGGTCGGTGGATCAGTAGGGGGGTTACCCAGTTTTTGATTGTGCGAATAGGGGGGGTCACCCTGTTTTTGATATCATGAATAGGGGGGTCACCATGTTTTCCACAATTCACACATGCGCTCATGCATATATTTTTTAAAATGTTATTTCAGAACAAACGATAAAAAAGTTAATCGTACAAATGTGTTCTCAATAATAACTATTACCTATATTGCCTATAAATTTGTTATATGTTAAATGTTATAGGCTAAATATTTGGAGGTTAAAGTTGCCAAATAACTAACAGATTATGCAATGCAGCTAGAACCCCAATTATACAGTTAAGTTTTAAACATATCCCAAGTCCATGTGCTGCTGATATCAGATTATTTCATTTAAAGTCTGAAGTCACCATTGTATAAGATATTTACTGGATTTATCCAATTATAACAGGAGACGGAAAGACAACACAGCAATTAGTACAAAGAGAAGTGACAGTTTTTGTTCAGCAAATCAAAAAAGTTAACTTTGTGAAAATGCTGATATATAAATTAAAATAAATGATGAAAAAATAAA